GCCTGGAGGGGCGCTTAGATTCAGCAAGCGTAACACTCAAGGCATGCAGGAGAATGTGGAAGCTAAAACTATGAGGTTGGCCACCATAAGAGATCTAGAAGGTAATCCCCATGACACCTGCAAAAATTCTTTTGCTGTTTTGGCTAATAATGAGTTGATGATTAGAGCTATTAAAATGGGAGTATGCATTCCTGCTAATGATTTCACTTATATTGATGTGCTTAGAGAGCTTGAGAAGGTGAGGGGGAACTTAGCTAATAAGAGTGATTTGGAAAATGATAGGCAGGACTGTGATGATGATATCATTGTTACTATGGGTTGGGAAAAATTGCTCCTGTTAATCTGGAGTGGTTGGATCATGATGAAACTGTGAATGATCGAACTTTCTCTGTTAAATATAGTAAGAAAAAGCCTCGCAGATTTGATGTCAAGCTTTCTAGGCCTGTGACTAGAAGCCAAAAAAATGGACGCAGCTGCGGGTGAGATGTGGGATAACCCTACAATGCCTCATGGTAGGGTTACTAGGTCCCAGTTTCACAAAAAACGTTCCAAATGAAAGGGATCATATGGAATTGTAGGGGGTAGGCAAGAAAGGAATGGCCACCTGCCTTCTGATATAATCAGTGACCATTCGGTGGATTTCCTGGGTTTGCAAGAAACCATGAAAACAAACTTTACTCCTAAATGCCTGAGGAGAATTGGTCCTTTTAATGTGTTCAGTTGGAACTAGATTCCTTCTATAGGTAAATCTGATGGTATCTTGTATGGGGTTAAACATGATGCTTTTGATATTGTTTCTTGTGTGAAAGGCAAATATATACTCCAACTATTTTTGAATGATAAAAAGAAGAAAACTCAATGGGGTTTGACGATAGTATATGGTTCTGCTCATGAAGAATTTAAAGGGGAATTTCTTATTGAGCTTGCTGCCATGTGTGGCACTATGCAAGTCCCATATATTGTGGGAGGGGACTTAATATTCTAAGGCATCCTGGAGAGAAAAAAAAGATGACAAATCATAAATCTATGGATATTTTCAATTCCATTATTAATACACCTGCCCTTAGGGAGATCCACATCAGTGGTGGTAAATACACATGGACAAATAATCAAGCACATCCTACTTTAGAGAAACTTGATCGTATCCTAATGTCTGAAACTTGGGAGGACCTGTTTCCTTTAGTTTTGGTCAGGAAATTGGTTCGGCAAATCTCAGACCATAACCTTTTACTGTTAGCTTTGGGTGATGAGGGGAAAGAGGCCCCAAAGCCCAGAGAATTTTGGTTCGATCTTGCTTGGGTGAAAGATGAGAGATTCCTGCCTTTGGTCAAAAAGATTTGGTCTAGAAAATTCCTTTCCTCTGACCCCATAGATATACTTAATATTAAATTGAAGAGGTTTAAATCCTACTTCAAAGGGTGGGGATCTGACAGATATGGCCATGATAAAAAAAGAAAGGAAGATCTTTGTATGGAATTATCCATGCTTGAAGAGTTAGAGGAGGAAGCTGCCCTTTCACCTGAGCTTTATAGCAGAAAAATCGATGTTTGTTTTGAGCTTCATGAGTTGCTGGTGAATGAAGAGATCTTCTGGCTCCAGCAGTCGCATGAACGGTGGATGCTCAAAGGAGACTTGGATACAGATTACTTTCGTCGTATTGCTAATGGGCGTAAACGTAAAAATACAATTCACTCTCTTAAGGTGGGCGAGATGGTGATTGAGGGCACTGATAATCTGATTGAGCATGCCATAGAATTCTATAAAGAGTTGTTTGGCCCTGCCCCAGGGAACCAATTCCACCTTGACCCTGATACTTGGTCGGTTGAAGAGAAGCTTACTGAGTCAGATAACAATGACTTATGCAGAGAGTTTACTGAGGAAGAGGTTAGAGAAGCCCTCTTCGATATGGCACCTAATAGGGCCCTAGGGCCTGACAACATATCTGTAGAGTTTTACCAAGTTTGTTGGGAGATTGTGAAACAGGACATTATGTCCTTGTTTACCCACTTCCATAGAGGGACGTTAGATGTGCAGCGCTTAAACTATGGGATCATCACGCTCCTACCTAAAATGTCTGGAGCTAATAAAATTCAGCAGTTTAGGCCAATATGCCTATGGCGATGATGGCCCCTCCGGGATCCTCCCCCATGGCCTCCGGTGATGATGGCTCCCTCCGGCAGGGTGCCAGAGAGGGCCTAGATTGATTTCTTGTGGCTACAGAGGCTTGCGGCGGCGGAACTTCTGATCTATGTTATTTTCTGGATGTTTGGGCATTTATAGGAGAGGTTGGCGTCGAGAACAAGTCAGGACCCCCCAGGAGAGTCCACGAGGCAAGGGGGCGCGCCCAGGGGGATGGGGGCGCCCTCCACCCTCATGGGGCCCACGAGACTGCCCTCTAGTAACTTCTTGTTCTAGTATTTTTTATATTTTCCAGAAAAAATCTTCGTTGATTTTCAGCGCATTCCAAGAACTTTTATTTCTGCATAAAAACAACACCACGGTAGTTCTGCCATCAGTCCAGGTTAGTTCTAATCAAATCATACCAAAATCATATAAAACTATTGTAAACATGGCATGAATACTTCATAAATTATAGATACGTTGGGGACATATCAGCATCCCTAAGCTTAATTCATGCTCGTCCTCGAGTAGGTAAATGATAAAAGAAATAATTTATGAAGTGCGAATGCTAGCAAGTGCTTAAGTTTGATCAATGATAGTTTCAATCAGTTTTTCTAGCATCATTATATATCATAACAATAGCTCAACTCATAAAACTTCTTATGATCAAGTAACAAGCTATTCACATGTTAAAGTATAGATCATAAACTTTCTTGAAAACTAACAAACCGTGCTCTTAGTCATCAAAACAATTGCAATTCATCTTATTTTCGGGAAGGGTCTATGTAAGAGCTTTGATTCAGCAAACTCCACATACTCAACTATCATTTAATCTTTCACAATTGCTAACACTCACGTGATATTTATGGGTTCAAAGTTTTAATC